GCGGTTTTGCGAATACCCCGTTGAATCGCTGAGAGAGCTATAGAAAGACAATGCAAAATGGGTAGAGACATTGAGAACAAACCAGAATACTAGTATAATGCCTTTTGTGCTAGTGTGTAAGCAGCTCGCAGGTCTGAAAAAGTCGGAGAGAACCCTATAGAACCCATAACTTGACCGATAAGAGTCGTTTTGCGGGGAAAAGCGGGAAAACAATTATTGCGATGGAAAACGGAGAACGAGCTTAAACTGAACGTTTTGTGTGCGCGAAAGCTGCAAAGATTGCTGAAAGGTGGCACCTAAACAAGCGAACTTGTTTAGCATACATAATTTGACCATCCTTATGCAAGCTTTTGAGTTTCATTTAATTTTAGCAAAGCAAGAATACCAATAAAACGTAAAAATATCATTATTCTCAGGACAATATTGGAGATATAAACTTCTTGTGAGAAAGTATTTTATATTGAAACGTCTATTAAAATATATATGTTTAAATAAATAAGTTGGAGAATGATAGTTACTTTAAATTTTTTTGTGTGTATTTTAAAACAACTTAATTCTAAGTTTCAAAGAAAAAAGAAAGGAGTTGTGAACTCTAACCCTTCTGTGGTTCCTAAACAGGTACCAAGTGCGTGGGCTACAACCGGATGCGCTTCCTGTTGGATTCGCTGCAGGACATCGATGACCAGCTGCAGGCGGTCACCGAAGGAAGAGGACGCCTCCACGTTTTTGAGGGCGAACCGGCTCACATATTCCGGCGGCTGCACGAGCAAGTGCGTCTGCACAGGATCTGCATGGAGCAGGACTGTGAGCCAATTTGGAATGAGCGCGATGAGACCATACGTTCTCTATGCCGGGACTTGGGCATCGACCTGGTCGAGAAGGTATCGCACACGTTGTGGGATCCGCGCACGGTGATCGACACCAATGGCGGCATTCCGCCGCTCACCTACCAGATGTTCCTGGTAAGTAATTAAATTAAAATGATATAAATTAATAAGTGTTAAGTCCAAGTAATCCTCTAGCACACGGTGCAAATAATCGGTCTGCCGCCTCGTCCCGCCGCCGATGCTCGACTGGATGATGCCTCCTTTGTGGAGCTGGCTCCCGAGTTGCGCAGATGTCTGGGTTACTTCGAGCAGCTGCCGACACCGGAGCACTTCAACGTTTACGGCGACAACATGGGCTTTCTGGCCAAGATTAACTGGCGCGGTGGCGAAACGCAGGCCCTACTTTTGCTGGCGGAGCGGCTCAAGGTGGAGCAACATGCCTTCGAGCGGGGCTTCTACCTGCCCAACCAGGCGCTGCCCAATATCCACGAAACGCCCAAGTCGATGAGTGCCCATCTGCGCTTCGGTTGTCTGTCGGTGCGTCGTTTCTACTGGAGCGTCCATGATCTCTTCAAGAATGTCCAGCTGCGCGCCTGTGTGCGAGGCGTTCAAATGACCGGCGGAGCCCACATCACGGGTCAGTTGATTTGGCGCGAGTACTTCTACACCATGTCGGTGAACAATCCGAACTATGACCGCATGGAGGGCAATGAGATCTGCCTGAACATCCCGTGGGCCAAGCCAAACGAGGACCTTTTGCAGCGTTGGCGGCTGGGTCAAACGGGATTCCCGCTTATCGACGGGGCTATGCGACAGCTCCTGGCCGAAGGATGGCTCCACCATACGCTGCGCAACACGGTGGCCACATTCCTGACGCGCGGCGGCATGTGGCAGAGCTGGGAGCACGGGCTGCAGCACTTCCTGAAGTATCTTCTGGACGCCGATTGGTCGGTCTGCGCCGGCAACTGGATGTGGGTCTCCAGCTCGGCCTTCGAGCGGCTGCTGGACTCCTCGCTGGTCACCTGCCCGGTGGCCCTGGCCAAGCGACTTGACCCCGAGGGGGCCTACATCAAGCAGTACGTTCCGGAGCTGATGAATGTGCCCAAGGAATTTGTGTGAGTTTCATATGTAGACCTTTTACAACTTAAGTAATTAATTGAAAATAGCAATTTGCAATATTGAAAAGCTTAGATAAAAAGTAAAAACTTAATTCGGAGCTATGATTAAGACTAACTTAATTTTAAATTATGTACTTAAGTATTGATTATTTTAAGTCTGGTTATACATCAAAGTTAAGTAGTTTTATGTAGTATTTTACAGTAACATATAAAGATAGCAAATAATGCAATGATCAACTAGTCGTATACGCAATATAAGGTAGCTGTTAGTTTACTTAAGTTCAAATAACATTTTCTACAACTAATCGAAGTAAAGCAAATCTGATATATCCATTATATTTTAAAGATATATTTCTAAAGCTAAAAATTAATTTTTTTTAACTTACCATTATATTTTTGTAGCCACGAGCCCTGGCGAATGACTGCCGAGCAGCAGGAGCAGTACGAGTGCCTGATTGGGGTCCACTACCCAGAGCGCATCATCGACCTCTCCATGTACGTGAAGCGCAACATGCTGGCCATGAAGGCGCTCCGGAACTCGCTGATGACCCCGCCCCCGCATTGCAGGCCCTCCAACGAGGAGGAAGTGCGCCAGTTCTTTTGGCTGGCCGATGTGGCTGTTTGAAATACTGTAACCCCAAAGCAAAATTTTACCCGATTTCACAATAAAGGAACTATTACCGGTCGTATATTATATATCATTAATAATGCTTTATTTTCTTCAATTAAAATAATTACTACAATACAATTTGTATCTGTTTTATTTGGTTTCGTTTTATTTTTAACAGCTTATAACGTGTTACTCATATATCAATTTTATTCAGCTTACTTTAAAAATCGTTAATGGTGTATATATATATAATTATTATTATCATTTGTATTACGTTATCAAATTATACGTTAATTAACAGCTTTAATTAAATAGTTTTTGCTTTTAGTTTTACTTGTTTTTACGAGAAAAATTGAACGCGAATTTATTTCAAATATTGAAATTTAATTTTATGTCGATCTATTGATCCGTACTTCGTTTTCGTTTTTTCTTTCGTTTAATGAGAGTTCCGTTTGTATCTTATAATTTGTCTAAATTGTGGTGTATATTTTATTTTATGCCTAAATTTTGGTGTTCCTTCTAGATGTGTGCCATACAAATGAGATATAGGTAGGGGTTGATGGGACCTAAAAGGAGTTATTGTTGAAGTTTGAGTCCCTCGACAGTTTGCTACAAATAAAATTGGAGAAAATGTAAACTCGACCAGGCCGAGCTTCTCCCTTACTCCCTACAAGTACATTCCCCTTAATAGTCGCTTGTAGGAAGTAAGCATTTATTTTTAGACATTCCACATCCTCTGAATTAGTTGAAGTAAATTCGAGTAAACATTTAGAGCGTTGCTTGGCAAAAAGTTATATTTCTGGTAAATGTAAATTTCACACACATATGCGTAGTATACGATAGCTGAATAAATAATCGAACCAACCAATTCAATCAACCAACGAACGAGAACGAACGAGAACTCACAGCAAATAACAATTTGACGCAATTTATACTTTATGGAATATCTCGTAACGCATTTTGCTTTTATCATTATTATATTTTTAAAGTACTCCCCCGATTCAAGTGTCCCTTCTGTATGTATGTACAAATGTATAATATTGTGCTGATGCATTCTGTGTGCTAAGTGGATGCCTGTATGTTCGAACCGATTGGCTATAAAAATAAAAAGCTGCTTGTCCCCATTGCGTATGCAATGCATTTTAAATCCCCCTGATTTCTCCGCAGCCCATTTTCGTTTTCATTTCCATTCCCCATTACCATTACCATATGGTGCTAGCTGACTGCTTTAAGCCTATGAGGTTCCATTAAATTCATTTGCCTTTTAATTTTTCCTTTATCCTTTTAACTGGGCGCCAGAGTCTAATGTGTCTGTGTTTCTTTTAAGATCATGAAAATATAGCTTCACTAATGATTCTGTTAAAAGCCTTTAAGATTTTTGGTTTCGGTAGAGGTTATAGCTTTAAAATGGACGTTTCATAGATAGATCATTAACTTTACATAGATTTCCAGAGCTATTTCTCCGTTTGAGCAGAATTAAGTGGCGGATAGTAAAAAACTCGGATCGATTTAGAGGATATGTGGCTACAGCAAAAGAGTACGTTGTATCTAAGGTGGTTTACTTTAAGGATTTCCACTTATTTGGGCATTTCAGATATTGGCAGTTTCCTAGTGTTGTCTTGGTGTGTTTGAAAACTTTTGAGAACATTCTTAGGTCAAGTCCCATTACAATCTTAGAATGTTATTGCTCGCAGCCAGACTATAGACTATAATGCAATCGTAGCTCGCAGCTAACTCCACTCGCAAGCGGTTCATAAATCATTCAAGCCAACCCATGGAAGGCAACTGTTTGCTCAGTCAATCCCCTCTAAGACCTCCCCCTTCTCTCCTTAAACTCGTGGTTATCTTGGGATTGGATTGTTACATTGACTTTTTGAAATGCAAATCAAATGCAGACCACAGATGCATAGCCAATGAATGCAAATAGACATGGCTGCATAGGCTCCTGGCTCCTATGTACATATTCTCAGAAAATCACATATTCAAAATGCTCCCCACCTCTCGCCCCCTCCTCTCATGATCGTTTCTCGGTTATTCATACAGGTCGGATGTTTGCGTTTAACTTTTTACATTAACTGTCATTTGGTTTATTTCACAATTTACAAAATGCAACTTAAACAATTGGATTTGATGCAGTGTGTTGCAGGGCAGGCCATGCGTGGAGGAGAGTGCCGTCAACAGATGTCCTGTGTGCCTGCTGGCTCGGCATCCTGTATCCTGGCTACATTTTACATACAGTGCAGTGGAAGGAACTTAACTAACTTACTGCGGTTGCAACCGTTTCTCGGGCTCTTTAATTTGTTGTCGTGTGCTACACTAGAACTAAGCTTTGTTGCTGCGGTTGTCGTACACTTGGTGTTTGCTTAGTTTGCTTTTGTTTCACTTGACGCTGCTGTGGCTTCACATTGCTTTAATTTCGTTTCATTTCATTTTGTTTGCTTGGTGTTAGTTTGTATCGTAAATTTATTTATGCAATTTTATATCTCAATTTCATTTATCTGTTTTGTTTCGCTTTGTATCGTTTTTGCCTTTTAGTTCTTGTTTTGCCTGGATTTTACATACACATATTTTGTTTACAATTTTCTACTAGATTTAATCGGCGTCCGCGCGCATACCCCGCACCTCGCCCACCTGCCGCGCCTTGTCCAGCTCCTCCTTCGTCTGGTCCTCGATGGCGCGGATGTCCTCCATTGTTAGACCGTACCAGCGATCGGTTGAACAGAAAACTTGGCTGAAATGGGAAAATAGAAAGGATTAATATGGTGTTTTTAGAATTATTGGGTGTCTCGGCTTTCTTTCTATTTAAATTTTAATTATAAAAAGACACAAAAAATAAATAAGTGTTACAGAAGTTTTTCCTAAACCAAGTTCCAACCAAGTACTGAATGTTGTTATAAACTTTCGGTTATAATTCAATTATAAGAGGTTTTTTATGAGTTAAAGTTATTGTTAAACAAAGATACAGATATTCCTCAGACGTTTAAATTCCAAATGTGAACTATTTTAAAAACTCTTTTCAACATTTCAAGACAATTACCGATGGAAGTTTGTAAAGAGGCGGCGCTCCGATTTCTGTATAAAATTCTCCACTCTTGTTTGCAGGCCGAACCATTTGAACTCGCACGTGACCAGCTTGTAGCAGGTCATGACAGGATCAACGCGCTTTTTCCAATCGGCTCCCACCAGGGGACCGCGGCCCGTCTTCTTTGACTGGTAGCTGCAAGGATAATCCAAATGTAAGTAACAAATAAATGGAAATATAATAAATTATTGCTTACGTGGTTGGATCCTCATCGGGCTTGTAGTCCGCAGGCAGGACCGGATCGTTGGCAATGTCGATGTGCACCACCTCTCGCATTTTCAGCTTATCCGGCGTCAGCTCGTGCACCTGCAAAGGCGAAAGCCGGAGCAAAATATCTTAGAACTACTCATTTTGGCCATGACAAATGGAACATTTAAAGCGTTTACTACATAGACGTGCACATGGATCGATGGCGGATTTGAACTACAAAGCTGAACAGAGCAGACGGCAAATAAAGTGCAATTAGAAACCAAACTCACGTTCTAAATAGTGCCAATGTCATTTTCTATGTGTTGCGAATATACGTCTACTTTAAAGTTTTTATTCATATAACCAGGATTCTTAACCGAAAACCGAATGACGAAACCAAACCAAAACCAAATCAAGCCAAAGTAAAAGGGGTTGTGGAATTTTGACAAACTCATTTTGCATGTTGATGGTTAGTTAGTTAATTAGGATGAGATGAGTTGATGTTGTGGAGAGAAAAGAAGAGAACACAAGTTAGTAAGATCATGCAGTGGTTCCTTGACTTACATTTTCTGAATCGCCCGCATCGCCGACGTGCAGGGTGTCGATGATTATTTTGAAAGCCTCTTTCATGAATTTGGGGTTCTAGAAATGTAATACAATCAGAGTAATCAGATGGGTTCAGGTACATCCTATACGAAACCCAGGAAATATCTTTTGGTTTTATTAAACCCCATGTTTATTTAATATATGTTTTGACCCCTTAATTACCGTGATAATCGTTCGACAATAGGGATAGGCATTCCATGCCTCCTCGTGGATCTCCAATGAGCCCTTGGGTGCCAATAGTCTAATGTAGGCTGGAACTTTTGATTGCAGATGGTAGATCTTATATGTATATTGACCGGAATTGTATTTGCCACCTGCAAAGAATGAAATATGTTCACCCGGAGTTATTAATCACAAATCGCAAATGGCTTACCCAGCAGGGGGAAGTCTGTAAAGGGCTCGTTCTTTAACACCTCGATGCCCTCGCCGCCTCCCGTGTTCTCCTTTGACGCCTCGGCCACCGAGAATAATTGTGCAACTTGATACTGTGGAGCAGAAAGCAGAAAGAGGGCAGATGGAAAAGTTACATCGGGCTTTTCCACCAGTTAACAACTCCCTTACCTCTTCCACAGTCAATGGCAAAGTCACACGGCTGCAACGAGAAAAAAACAATGACTGCGTCAGCGAATGTATGCATTAAGGCTACACGATTTTAATTAAGTTTAATATAACAATTTTAATTAAATACCAGGCCTGTATATAAAAAGCTGTTGATACCCTTAACTAGCCATCGAGCACACGGGGTATATCGGGTTCAGAGAAAGAGTGGGATATATGAAAATAATTAACAATAACCAGGGAAATTCAATGAACAACCTGTTTTAATTGCAGTTTAAGAGGAACGGTATTCATATTACGTTTCAGTACCAAAGTACATCGTTATTCCAGTGTTTTATGTGCAAACAAAGGGAAAGGGAAAACGTCCAGAAACAATAAATGTCAGCAGCCTGCCTAGAAATAGTTTATGGGTTGACTGCATTCATTTTAATTTACTGCAGAATTTGTCCAATCTCGATTGCTTTACAGTGATGTCAATACAATGAAATACTCAATTTGGTAACTTCATAATAACGTTGTCGAAGTGGAGCTTTCAACTTGATAAATAACTTAATTTTGTCTCTTTGTTGGGTCCATGTTAAGTTATAAGATGTATTGCCCACATTTTCCTCAAATTGCATAATTACAAGTCCTCTACGCTGACTTTACATTGTCTGTGCAATGTACTCAAGCCCCAAAGTATGCAAACAACCCAGAATGGCCATCCACAATTTAATATGCAAGCAAACAATTCATGTCGATTAATACTTGACGAGATAAGATTAGAATTAGTGGTCCTATTTAAACGGAAATCATATCAAATTATTCAAAGGACCACTTCACGATATCTGTCGAGGAAAGTTACTTCCGCCGCACAATTTAAATGAAATAATTTTAATTAAAAGCTTACATAAGTGGGCGTCGCATTGGCATTGCAAAAAATAAACCTTCAAAAAAAATGCTGGCAACATGCAAATTTCACAAGCCTTTTTTGATTTTATTTCCATATACATGTTGTATATGAGTTTGGGGTCCCCAATCCACCCACTTCCGGGCCACATACTCATCCTCTAATTACCAAAAAAAAAAGGTCGCCGGGCCAGTGAAAAGTTGCAGGAAACGTTCTGGGAACGCATATAATTATGACAGCCTTGAAACTTGTTCGCATCGCTTGACTTTTGTTGCGGTTTTGGCGTCGACAATTTAATTGCAAAAATTTTACCAGCTTCTGAAAGAGGATAGCATCAACGAAGAGGAAATGCTCTTTGGAGACGTCATGAAAAACTAATTTAAAATCCATAGTTTGAAACCATAAATTTTTAACTTCTAATGGATCTGAAAAAGTTAAAAATCTTTCTGCATCATTAAGTGATACCTGAAAATATTTACATTTTGAGAATCAATGATGCTTAACTTTTTAATGCATCCCTAAAATATATTAAACACATAAATATTTAAATTCTTCAATGTAAAGAACACCAAAACTAATAAAAAATGTGTACGAAAGAAGCTTGGTATTTTTGCTTGTGCCCTGGGAAATTACTGCGCTTATTTTGAAGGTAATATTTAGCTACAAACGGTAATCCCAAGGAAAGTCAACAGTCAACGGCTTGGCAAATGAAATATTTCCCGGCGAATAAAGGCTAAATTGCTCCCCCGGTGCGAGGGAAGCCTTGGCATGCATTCGTAAGGTGCGAACTGCGAACTAGAGCTCCTTCTTGGCCATAAAGAACCTGAACCTGAACCCCGTGTGCTGGCCCAGCTTTATGGCCTGTCATCCGTTCTCGCCTCCCCACATAATATAATACACAAATGCCAAACAATGCGACACAAGAAAACACGACACGACTCGAGAACAATCAAAGTGACGGGAGAAAGTGAAAGGGGGGAAATTCGGTGCTTTGTTTGCCGGGTGTCTTGCAGACGCAATTAACCTTTTGGCCCACTGTTGACACTCGTAATGATGTGTTTCCTAATTGCCAGTCGACTCGAGCAGAGCAACTGGTAGGCGTGGCTTTAATGCTGCCTACTCAAAAGTTGGCAAACTACGCGCGGGCCCTGAAAAGGTTAAAGTTCGCATAGAAATGCTTTATGGCGCAGGAGGGGATAATGCGCCTTTCCAAGTTTAACTTTTGCCAGAGTTCATCTGGGGAAGGTAAGGGGGATTTCCACAAAAACAAGGTGGATGATTTAGGAGAGTGTGCGTGCAGCTGTGGCAGGGGCACCGAAAAGTTTGAACTATAAACGGACTTAGGACAAGGTAAACATTGTGTTGCGGTGTTTAATTGTTAATGAAGTTATTTGGAACTGTACTTAATCATTGCATAATCAAAACGATGCTGAAGTTCATCGGGGTGGAATTAAGACTTCCGCTTAGGTTAATTGATTAAACATTCATTAAACATCAAGTTTGTAAGTCGAGCTGCTTGTATTTTTCATTTAAATCCACTGAAAGTCATTTTCTACCTTTTAAAGGGTTTAGATATTTTAGAATCATCTATCTTGTTACAAATCTTAACAGTTTAGCCGTTAAAGAAATTTTAAACATTTTAAAAGTGGTAATCATCTTATTTAAATGCATTTTTTATCCAACAATATCATCAAATCATTCATTTATACAAACAATATAACTTTTCTTTTCAACAAATTTCCACGCAGCATTTGTCGTTTAATCAAATCAGATTGTAAAAGTTTTGCGCAAATAAATGGCCCATAAAAAATTATTCTTTGCCTTTACATACCAAACTTTTTTTCTTGAACAACAAAAAGGGCATATTATTACTGGAAAATGCTAACGAAACTCGTAAAATCTGAAAACCCAGAAGAAGACTCGTTAGATGAAGAACTGATGGCGGAAGGCCAAAAGAAAAGCAAAACGTGTTTGTGTGACAAAAGTTCTGTCCCAATAAGTTAAGTAGAAATAAGTAAATAAATTCCCATGAAATTGCCGAAACCAACATCTAACTGGGTCAAATACTCCCGAATGCGAAAGATCAAACGATATGGAAATGTTTTTCTTTATAAGGTTATCTATGAATCAGAGTACAATCAGAGCAATGAACAAATTATGCAAAATACAAAAACAGAAACATAAAAGAAATCGCCACACATGAACGTAGGGTTCAGGAAAAGCAGAGAACAACAGCCAGAGAATATTGAAGAACTCTTAATGAGACCAAAGTTGCCGAAAGAAACACTCGGGAGACCCCCGCATTCAACCCTCTTTTGTGGCCGTGAACAAGGGGAATTGTTTGCTCTTGTTGGCATAATTGAAAATGGAAAGTGATTGTTTGGGGCGCTGTGTGTCCGCATCGGTAAGTGGGCGAGTGTGTGTGTGGGCCGAGGGGAAAGCTCTCGGCCAAGGCTCTTCTACTGGCCATCATTATTGAGGGCCGCCCACTGGCCACTGCCCATTGCCGCAATTGAAGGCCGAAGCCAAGTAATAATTGATTTACCCGCAATAAAGATGTCACAGAGAGATTGCCCAGTGGACTCAATGAATAACAGAGCAACGAGTCAGTCGAGCTTGAAATTAAAGCTTTTGTTTTAAGCCCCTATATATCTTAGACCACTGCCATTAACTAACTATACCTTTATGTGAAACTTACAAAATTGTATTTATTTTTATAAAAAGACTAATAACCATAATATCTATAATATTATTTATGAAACGGACCCTAAAATATTCTATAAATGTTTAGCTCCGTTTATAATATTTTTTGATAAAGAAGGCCCAAAATTCCGGGGACCACTTTGCGGCTAACCCCAATTGTGATTGTGGCATACTCCTCAACTTTCGGTGCCCGCTTTTGCTGGCGCTTAGCAGCAGTCACACTCAATTACCAACCATTTTCGAAACAACTGAAACCTCACACACTCGAAACGAGTAATGAGTACAGTGCCGTTGCGAAGTAAAACCACGGACACAACCCGAAAACCAAAAGCTGTGTGTTATCTTATCTCAGTACATAAAAAAACACAAATGGCGGAACTAAATTGGAGCTCGTGCCATTTTCAAATTGATTGCGGGCTGGCGAGGAGGGCAGTTCGAGGGGTGGAGGGTGGAGGAGCTGTATCTGACGGATACATATGTGGGCTACAAAGCGAGCCAATCAGTTGGGGCAGTAAAAGTCACGCTACAGCTGGTTTATGATGAGTACCGTCGAGGACTGACATTGAAAACAACAAGCTTTTGCTTTCACAGATCAAAGTTGAAAAGGTTTTAAAAGCCTGCACTCTTTAAATTAAATATGGCTAATTCAGAGCTTTATATGTAGGGTAAATAAAGTTGCCCTGAAGTCTGAAATAAAATTATAATTTTAAAATTAAATTTAAATTCACTTAATTTTTTAGTTTATATTTGAAAGTGTTATGTTAATTTTTCGATATAAATCAAAGCTTTTAATTTACGATTACAAACAAAATCAATTTATCTTTGTATAGTTATAATGACCTCTTTTCGATTGCCTTAATATTATCAACGTTAATGGGTTGATTGCTATCAGACAGACTAAACCGCATTGTTTGTCCACAAACAATTGTTATTCTAAATCCTCTGCTGACAATGCTAGGTCAATAAATAAAGTGCAGCACTTAAAGCATTATTGTATACAATAAAATGCAATATCAGATGAAACAGGCAAAGTGCAGCCATCACAATTTGTTTTTGTTACTTCTCCGAAGCTTTTGAATCATTTGGCCACTTTGGCCCCTGGCCATTTAAAATTGTTTATCAACCTGCTCCGGCACGCGTTGCCTTTATTTCCACCTTTATTTTTCATTTAATGATGGTGCTGAAACTTTCATTGCCAAATGGTTTACATTCCAACAGCCGGCAGACGAAAAAATGCGAAAATCTGGGAGGAAAAAACATTTTGATATGCAAATGCTAAAGGCTTCGTGTGGGGATTACGACATCGAGTACAATTAAACATTAATGCCTCACATGAAGATTGCCTGTCAACTTATGGGCGTTTTAATAACTGAAATTCCGCAAGACTCTTACAAAGTGCTTAATTTTCCAATAAAATTAAGTAACCTTAAACGCTACCTCACAATTTCTTAAAAATGTCGACAAATGGAAACTCCTATTTTAAAATTCGTAATATCTAATCGAATTTTTGTGGACTTCCGGTCGTGAAATTATATGAGAAATATTAAAAATATAAATACATTTTATGAGTACTCTGATAGTAAACTTCTAAAATCCAAGGGTGTCCGCTTTATAATTTGTATGACAACAAGGCCTTTTCTATATTTAGGTTTTCCATAGCTGAGATTACAAACATGATTCATTATAATAATGATTCACAATAACAATTAATATTTATAGTAAATCAACTTGTTCACATAATGTTTATATGTTTAAAACTTTAAATCAACGACCCCTTTCGAACAATTGAGCGAGAATTAAAAGCTTTACACAGCGCAAACACTTATCAATCAATTATCAGTAATTCTCACTCTTTACATGCAATCAAAGTTCAATAATCAGATTGATGTAAAAGATTGTGTAAGCAAGGCCAATAAAAATCGAAAAAATATGATAAGAAGGAGATTGTCTGTTCGAGTTTTTCATTTTCATCTCATGTGCAATCTTCTCAGATTTTCCTCACTTTTCCGTCGGCTGTCAAAGTCGAAAGCAATTATAAGCCGGGCCATTTGATTTCAGGCTTTTGGCAATTTCCGTTAATAAATTAAAAGTATCATTGCCAAAATGGACGGGAATGAGAAGGGGAGAACGTGAGCCATTTGCAAATGGGAGGAATATCACCTGGTGGCTCTTCCACCGAAAAGGATTCGAGATGCAGTGAGTCAACGCTTAATGGGCTTTACGCAACGACCTTATCGCACTTAACAACTTGTTTGATTAAAATCGCAGTGCCCAAAGCCGTAAAGAGAGTTATGGGAAAAGAGAGGCGCAAAAGAGAGTGACTCACTAAAAAAGGCAAAATCGACAACGTGGCGTCGCTGAGCGACTGAAAGGCATTATCTATTTTTTTTTGTAAATATATGTACATATATTTCCGATGACTCAAAGGAGTTTCCAAAACTAATTAGCAATGGGAATGCTTATAAGAAATAAGATGGATTACGTAGCTTCAAAAACCAACTTGAAACTCGTTACGTCATCGCCACAGCTGCAAAATACCTGAGATAGAGCGAGATGGCTAGTGAGGGGCGGGGGCGGAGCAGGGGGACGATAGGGGCTGATAAGAAAAACATTATTTTGTTGTTGCGGAAAATGCCCGCAAACTTAAATACAACAGAAACAACTACATGGACAGAGAGAGAGAGAGAGAGCGTGAGAGTAAGAGAGCGTCGTGTCATGTCACGGAGAGAGAGTGTAAAATCGATTTGTCACAAATAATTTGCGGCTTGCACAGGTTTTTAGGCTTTTTAACATAAAATAATGACAGGTAAATGGAAAATCTGGTTCGGTTCATACTCACAATTCTTTGATCTGCATGTTTGCCAATTATTATCCGGTATTTTCCTGCTTGATTCGCTGCGAGAGAGTACAAAATACAAAATTAGATTTAATGCGACTTCGCTGGCGTATTTCAGCTATACATATAAGTATACAACTTATTATTTCCAAATGTAAATGCACTTGCACTCGACGCTTAACCTTCGCACGCACTTTCTATATTTAACTTAAATATCTGCCAAAACCACTGAGGTGTTTCTCTGTCTGCTGCCAAATCGCTGCACTCGCACTTTTTGTTTATGTTTGCGCTCTTGTTTGGCCAGATTAGCGGCGTTTAGTTTGCCAACTTCAATTCTAATGGGGTTTTTTTCCCCAATTGTCGGCTAAAAACACGAGTCATACGCACACACACACACACTCACGCACACTTGCGGGCGGAATATGAATCGCAAATTGTGCGATTTGCCGCTGATTTATTACTCAAATGATGACGTACAATTGGGGGATGCGATGGGCCTGGTATCGGGATCTTTTCGCGCTGGCAAATCGGCGGCAGTAACAAATTAGTAATGAGTTTTGCGTGTCGGAGCGGAGCTAAAGTTGGATGTTCATGCAAAACACTTGGATTCCGATAGGCCGCGTATCGATTTTGCGGAGGGCTACGGTCATACTTGGCGGTGGGCGCCCGTGCGTCGCGGACTATCGATAGCGGCGGCGATGGGTCCAGGGATGGTCCGTCACCAAAACATATTAGGGGAGCTCCCCTAAAAAAGTTTGTTATTTCTGCTCCATATAAAGATTAAAATTTCAAAACTATCTGATTTAAAAGCCTGTTTGCAAGGGCAGAACTTGCCACTAGCTATTTTTTGAAGACCACAAAACCATTTTCAAAACAAAAGTCTTCTTAGGTTTACAATTATATTTGGCTAGATCGAAAATTGAACACGTAAAATATAATTTAAGAAATATCTAATCTTGGTCAACTACTTACATATACAGTTTTAAATTTGATTCAAAATTGAAATGTATACAATTAATTTTGTTACCTGATTTAAGATGATTAAAATATAAAGCTTGGTGCCTCCGTCGATATCTTGTTCTTGAGTTTCTTCGAATTAGGGTCATTGGGGTCATCCTCCCGGGGTGGTGCGGGTGGCATTCGCAATCCGCCGCGACGATTTTCGGGACTCAACGTGGCTTGTGTTGTGGGGACCAGAGCAGTGACCACTTCCTGGGTTGTCGAGTTGTGTTCGGCTGGCGGATCGGCCTTCTTTTTGCCAGTATCCACGAGCATGTGCATGGAGAACTTGAGTTGTCCCTTTCCCTGGAACTTCTCGTCGATGGGAATGTTGCGGGCCCAGACCTTGCAGCAGATGGTGACCTCGGAATTCGGTGGCATGTTGCTCAGCTGGACGGCCACCACGCGCTGCACGCCAGTCATCTTCTCGGAGGCTTCGTAGTAGGGTCCCGGGAAGAAGTTGATTTCGGGTTGCGGGCCTCGGGCCACCTCGCAGGTGATCCAGATCTTTGGGGTGGGGCCGTACTTCCTTAGCGTTTCGTCCAGGCCCGCAGGCACTTCCTTGGGCAGATCGTCCTGGGTGTCGTACGTCTCCGGCTGGAAGCCTATCACCTTGTTCAGCTTGATGAAGACGCACGGCTTCGCCGACACGTAGCCCCACATGTCGTCCTGGTTGCATTCGGAAAAGAACTCGACGGCATCGTCGTTCAGTTTGTTCAGAAAGTTGTCGATCCCATCCGCGATCGGAATGACCTCGCCCATCAGATGGGTGTAGTAGGTGATCGCGGATGTGTTGTAGGGCACCATCGACAGACCCGGCGGACCCTTCAGCCAGCGCGGCTTATTGGGATCGATGATCGCCAGCATAAAGATGCCAATCCAGAAGGCCACAATCAGCATAATCAGGCTGTACAGGACGAGGTAGAAGCAGACGATCCGGAACCACGCCCAGGCAGTCCGACCGAACAGCGTGTGCTCGTCTATGTCGAAGATCCTCTTCGACCAAGGCAGATCCTTCTTGCGGCGCTTCTCCTGCTCCCTGCGGAATTGCTTGACCAGCTTGTACTCGCCCGCAGGCACCATCACGTCCTCGGGCATCCTTTCTATGGGGTTATTAAAAATAATTCGAGGTGTATGGTATACAAATTGAAATGTAGTTCAGGATATGTGAAATTAAAAGCAGAGTAGGGGGAATGCCTTTTATAAACGTTCTCCCAAAAAAAGTTTATTTAAGATCATTTTGATATGCGGCCAGGTAAATTTTAACTGGTCGAAAAGAGTATTTCATGTAAAAACTATATGGGTTTTGCATGATCACCTGAAATTTACTTGGCCATATCGATTTTACATGCTTTTTTTGTGTATTAATTTGTTATTTTTTGCTTTCCTAGTTCCTCAAATTATAAATATATATAAGATCAAAAATTTCACCCATTAATATCAGTTTATTGACAAATCGGTAACTCGAAACATAGAATCAATGCACTTAGAATTGCTCATTCGTACCACTCATCCAGTAACAATGGAGTGGTGGGGTTAACAGGCGCCGTACGACGAAACAGAAACCGGACTGTTCCCATGTAGAGTGGGATGTTCTTGGCCCACACGCGGCACCGAACCATGACGTTTCGGTTGGGCGGTATGTTGCTGAACTGGACGCCGATGATTCGTCTCAGGCTGGGATCCTCCGTGTAAGTGCCGTTCTCGTCGTCATTCAGAAAGACATTCATTCTGGTGAATAGGTACTCGGCGTCGAAGTAGCGATCCGGCACGTACTCAATTTGAATATCCAAATCCTCCTCCTTCTTGTACTGGCACTCCACCCAGATGCGGTTGATCCGCGCCTCCATGCCCAGTTTGGCCACGTAGAAGTACAGTTCATCCGGGGCGTGATCGGGCAGCGTCATGCCGTCGTCATAGGTGATCGCCTCGAAGCCCAGGGCCTGGGTGAGCTTCAGCAGGACGCAGGGCTTCCCGGAGGCATAGCCCCAGGTGTCGTCCAGGTTGCAGGCCATCAGGCGCCTCTGGCCCTCGAGGCCATAGCGATCCACCATTCGCGCCATCTGCCTGCGGATAGAGCCCAGCTGCTTCTGGTTCGAGTGGCTCCAAATGATTCGCTTCTCGTCGCCCCGCCACTTTCCAGGCACCGTGCACAGTCCGGGGAACTTCTTGCACCCCGGCCGATCCTTTGGCACGTGGTAAGTCATCACCAGGACGCCCAGTCCGCAGGTGAAGGATGCCAGCAGCACGAAGAAGATGACGAAGTAGAGCACCAGCTTGGCGATGCGGCACCGGGTCATCTCGGGCATGGCGATTCGGGTGCGCAGAGAGCGCCTAAAGCGGTACTCCGCCACCCGTTGATCCCTACGACGGCGAAGTCGTCCGACTTCGTAGGGTCCAGAGTACACTATCGCCTCGTTGGGCATGAAAAGGAGATATATTTAATAATAATTACAAAAAAGGTATGAAGCGTTAAGGTAAGCTTGCTTTGGAATTGTAAATGGATTTTTTATTTAAGGCTTAGTACTCAACCCAACAAAAAGTCGTCCAAAACAAAAAACTTCATATGAAAAACAACGTCAAAAAATTTTGTTTCATATGAAGTTTTTGTTTTGGACGACTTTTTGTTGGGTTGAGTACTAGCCCTAAAGTTTAAAAAAGTGTTCCTAAATTTGACTTATATTTCCCATCTATATTAATTAATTAAATTTCCAATCAGGAACTAACAAAATACAAAAAACACAACAAAATGGAAAACCAAGATTCAAAATTTCAAATTAACGCGCTAATTTCTTGATATCGATAATTTTATAGATATCTTTGAATTTTGGCATCCCTGGTTCATTCCAATAAGAATAAGCTAAGGTCACACTGCAGCTCGATAACCGATATATATCGATAAAACCAAAACCAAAACAAACGAAATTGCGAAAATGAACGAAAATGTGATTGCTGCTCCGTTGAGCCGAATCCCGGGCACCAGCCAGTTGAAGGAGCAGCACAGCAAGGACCTGAAGACCCTGACCTACGTGGAGCTGCTGGAAATCAAGGACAGACAGTCGCATTTCCTCTCTTTCAAGTGAGTTTAGGCCTCAACCTGTGGAGCTCACTTTCATTTTATGCGATTTCCCGCGCCAGAAAGCGACTGCTGCAGCTGCCGGACAAGGGAAAGCGCCTCCAGGAGTCCTACGACAAGCTGCTGGACGAGATCAGGCGACGCGACGAAGTGGAGGAGGCGACTCGAATGCTCAGCGGTCTCAATATTGCAGCGCAAGGAAAGATCGCTCTGAACAACCTGGAGTGGAATGGCAGGACCACCGACGAAGGTGCCCATGTGGACGACATTCTGGACAGCGATGACGAGGTGGAGATGGATCCCCTCAAGGTCATAGCCCAGGGAACAATGCACGAGAAGCGGGTCAAGGTGATTCCACCGCCCACGAGCCTCATTACGGCCGAGGATCTGGTGGAAATCGAGGAGTTCAAGAAGCCAGCCGACTCTCCCGATTCCGCTTTGGCTGGGCAGAGTGACACCAGTTCCCTGCCCGCTGAGATCATACATATAGACGCCAGCCAAGTGGCCGCCAAGCTGACCAAGGATCAGCCGCCCGATCAGCATGCCCTCTACCTCATCGACAAGACGGAAACCAGCGTGAATGCTGCTACCAAGGAGAAGTTTATGCCCTTCCGCACCACCAAGTCGAATGTCCACGATCCCGACAAGGAGCGGGTGCGCAAGAAGGGCAAGCACTGGGAGATAACAGCCGCCACACCGCCACTCATCCAGCACAAGGAGGTGCAGCTGGTGCCGCTGGCGGAGTCCGCTGCCCTGCAAATAGATTACATGCAAAGAATTAAGGTATTTGTGCTTATTCCCTTGAGAATTTAATGCTAATTATAGTTAATTTACAGGAGGTGCGCCTTCAGCAGGCTGAACAGCGGCTGGCCATGCAGAAGGAGTCCCGGCTGGCAGCAGGACTGAGCCTGCCCGAGGAGTCCGTGCTGAAAACCAAGGCCTCCTTCCGCAACTATCGAGATCCCCAGGCCAACTTCCTTATCGAGGGCAGGCAAAAGGCCAGCGAGGCGAATGAAGTGCATGATCCCACAATTCAAGACAGAGGAACAGCCTCCAGCGGCATTCACTACACAGTTTTCGAGTAACCTTTAGAATCCCATTCCCAGCTAATCGTTTTCCCAGAAACATTGTGAACTATTTATTCGCGTAGGCAACAATTACTAAATAAGACTGCATATATAACTCACTTAGTGTGTGATATTTAGATAGAGTAAAACTGCGTGGCCGTGGAGGCCTGCAACTCGATTTGGCCCATCTTAAACTGCAGTCGCTGCAGCCACTTGAGCAGAGCCTCCGATCTGAAGGTCTGCTGCTCCTCGTAGTCCGGCGCATAGTCCCTCACGTTCTGCAGGCGGACGTGCAACGTGTCCGAGAGTTGCGTCTGCGAGGAGAGAACCGGACTCCACATGGGCAGCAGCTTGCCCAGCACCGTGGAATTGGTGTCCTTCAACGCCTCCAGCAGACTAAGGAAGTGCAGATTGACCATCTCGGACAGCTTGGAGTTGGCGCTCTGCGTCTGAAAGTCCAATGGTGTCTGCGGTTGATCCTTGTTGACTGCCGGCTTGGCGTGGGACACTAATTGCAAGATGCAGGGCGTCACCTTTGCCCAGAACTCGAACAGCACCCCCAGCGTGCTGCCCTCTGCATTGCTGTTCGTATTGTGGGCCATCTGCTCCAGATAGACCGTCCACAGCTGACACAGGGTGAACGCATGGAACAGCGAGGACATGTGCAGCACCGAGGTCTTCGACTGCTCGGCGAATCCGGCAAAGATCACCTGAATGTGATCGGCGATGTGGCAGGAGGCCTCCTGCGGCACCGGCTGCGAGTATGTGACTCCCTGATGCTGATAGTGCACACTGGCTGTGGGCCCTGTTCCCTGTCCAGGCTGCGGCGGCAGGGGCGTTGGAATGCTGTGCGTCTCCTGGCGGCGCTGCATCAGTGCCATGTGCGTGAGGGAGCCGAGAAGCAGCCAAGACAGCAGGCGCATGTGGCCCACGCACTCGGTGAACTCCTTGGGTCTGAGTGGGGAAGTAAATTGTATTAATTTATTACAAGAGGTTATTTCTATCATCGGTTTACCCTTGCTGGAGGGAGGATGGAGCATTGTTTAGCCAGGGGAGATAGCGGGAAACGGCCTTGTTGTCCCTAGAATTGCCACGCGACATCTCCAGAGCCAAATATTGGGCCACTGCTCCCTTGAGGACGCCGCCCAAGGTGTCTTCGCCCAGACCATTGCTCGTCTGGCCGTTCTTGAAGTTCTAAAACATGAAAAATTATCATTATAAAATCATTAAGATTTATCGAGGACCGAAGCTAACTTCGGCAAGCCGAAGTTTTAATACCCTGGCAGATTTCACAAATTAATTTTTGACTAAAATAGCAACATGAATTAATAAACAACACATTTCTTAATTCAAAAAATAAAATGGTAAAATATTTTACCCTCTTGTCAATAGCTTTTACACTACGCGAAATATCCTGAAAAACATAAAATTTTAACCGATTTCACCCTATTATTCCTATGGGAGCTATAGGATATAGACGTCAGATCTGGTCGATTTTCTAACTTGATCTGCGTTGACATGTTTTAGGATGACTGTGAAAGTTTCAAGTCGCTAGCTTTTAAACTAAGCTAACTAACGGTATTGAAACATACGGACAGACGGACATGGCTGTATCGACTCCCCTATTGATCCTGATCAAGAATATATATACTTTATGGGGTCGGAAACGTCTCCTTCACTGCGTTACAAACTTCTGACCAAAATTATAATACCCTCTGCAAGGATATGAAAAGTTATTTATCAGTTCCAAAAGATCCCCCACCTTAATCTTGCTGAGCGTGTGGAAATCGGCCAAAAAGTCAATAACATCGTTGATATACTGCCTCAAACAGTCCGCCGAATTGGTGGTCATCATGGGAGCTGCATCCGGTAAACCAGGAGCTGCTCCTGGTGGCAGAGTTCCGCCAGCATCGAGCAGCACGAAGCCAATGATCGTGAGTAGATTGTGGTCCGGAATATTCGACTTGAACTTGAGGGCCTGGACAAACTCAAAGATCATCTGGCGACACAGCAGGTTCTTGTCCCGATCCTTGCTAAAGGATCTGATATTCAAAGTGCACAGCTCGTAGAGCGTCTGGTACTCCAGATTCGTGTGCTGCACACAGTAGGCCATGATCTTGGAGTACGGATCGAGCAGTGTCTTGGGCACACAGTTCAGCCTCAAGGTGGCCGCTATGATGTCCAGCATGTACTCCGCATTGCTCAGGCTGGGCATGATCACGATCACCTGGCGCAGCAGCGACTCCATGGCCTGCATGGCCTGTGACCAGACGGCCAAGCCCACTCCCGCCTCCGCCGGAACGCACTGGAGATTCAGATACTCGGCCATGTTGCGGAAAATCACCGGCAACTGATCGACGGGCAGGGCCTTCTTGGAGGTCAGCGAATCGCAGACCATGTAGATGGGACTGGTGGCATTCAGATCCTGGAAATCCTGCAGAGCCTTGGCAATGCTGCGGAAGTGGTTGTGCCGGATTTTCACTGAAAATGGGAAAAGGTTAATCTTTTTTTTAAGCTAACATCATTACTAACTTTTCATTTGGGTCTGGAACACTTGCAGGAAGATTCCATTGGGGGCCAACTGGTGGAGGACGCAGCGGAAGAACTGCAGGGCCACCGCCTGGGCACTGCTGGCCAAAGGTGGACCATTCTCGCCCTGCCAGGCATGAGTGCTGCTCAAGCAGATCCTGAAATAGGGATACATTTAGTTTAGAAGATCATATATGTAAGAAGAACAATTACCGTGAAGTCATGGTGAGGATCTCGGGCAGGAACGGAGCTGCCATGGCGGGTTCGCGGTGGATAAAAGTGCCCAGGATGACTATAAAGATGCCAATCTCCTCGTCTGTGTACTCCTCAATGTGGGCACCGCAGTCTGAGCAACGCTCCACGATGGTATAGTCGCCCACGCGACGGGAACTCTGGGATGGGATAGATACTTAATGATAACCACTCTCAAAAAATTATTCGCCCTTAATTATAGAAATTTGATTTAATTTTTTTCTTAAAACTAAAAAATATTCTACTGGTAAAGAAAATGTTCTTCAAATTAATCAAAACTTATTAAATATAAGAAATTATCCTCAAATAAAGGAAAAATCGCCTTGAAGCAAATTTCTTAAATTCAGGGCGAATAATTTTTTGATTGCATAAGCCATATAGACACCTACCCCTCGCGGAGCATGAGCAGTGGAGTGTGTTCCATGGCCATTGGAGGCCTCTGCCCCGATCTCCTCATCATCATCGGGTTCGGGATCCACGGGCTGAAAGGGAGGCGGTGGCCAGGAGCCGGCGAACCGAGAGCGGATATCCGGTATGGCATTGCTGTCCACATTGAAGGGAGCCAGTTTTTGGCGAGGACGCTTGATGCTGTTGCTGGTGGCCAAGCCGCCACCGCCGCCAGAGGCTCCGGCACTTTGCTTCAGCTCCTTCTGGACATTCTTGAGGATGGAGGTGTGCAGATCGGTCGAGGGTTGCGATGGAAGCTGGGCATTGGGATTAGGGGGCGATTCCAGGGCCACCTGTTTGATTAGGCGACGAGGTGAGTTAGTCCTGCTGCTCGGCGTGACATCATCCTTGGTGCTCTCCGACACATCCAGGCTGTCTTGCTTCAGGTGACTGATGTCAGGCAGGTTGAGACCATCTCGCACCCGCTCCACCAGCGTGGCCACCGAATCCTGGGTGCCAATGGGCAGCAGACGCTCCGGCGTGGGAATCTCCAAAGCGGCAATGCTCTTCGGCGGCGGCAGGCTCTGCATACCCTCATCCACCTCGTCCCTGGGATTCGGCATCACGCTCATCTTGGATAAAGGTGACTCCGGCGACCCATAGTTGTTCTTGTCCGTGCGCCTAAGCGATTTCGTTTGCGATTTCTTCTGCCGCGAATCATCCGCCGAGGAGCTCGAGTTTCCGGCACTGCACTCCACAATCGTCTTGTGGCGTCCAATGGGTTTGCTGTTTGCCGCCGCCGTCGAAGAGGATGCCTGCATAGCAGCCGGGGCACTTCCTCCACTACCATTGCCATTGGCCGATCGACTGCCGCTTCCACTGCTGGATCCCGGTTTCCTTTCCACCGCCGTGGGCAGATCCTGCAGAGCACCCAGCGCCTTCAGGTGATTCGTGGCTATGGCGGCGAACATCTTGGACGTAGAGGCTGCCGCATTCTCCAGCGACTTGTTGCGCACCGTCACCGCCCGGTGGACATCCACTGGAGGACTCACTATCGCCGTCTCCGTGGTCTCCGCACCCACCAGCGGAGTGACGATCATGCGAACGCCCTCCTGCAAACTGTGCCTCGTGTGGGTGGTCACCAGGGTCTCACTGGTGGTGGTGGCCTTGATTTTGGTGGTGTACGTATCGCCCACCTTGGTCGTGATCATCGACTTGTGGGATTTGGTGGATTTCTGAGAGGGATAGTTTATAAAGAGTTGAAAAACCTATACATAACTTGATGATTTTACCTCTTCGGTGTATTCTAAAGTTCGACGATTGCGTGGCATGACGTCCTCATAATGTATGGTATCGTCAAAGGATCCCTAGGTTAAGAATAAGTTTAAATTAAATAAAACTTAATATTTTCATGGATGTAAAACTGATCGTGAAAAATCGTATTTTAAATTCAAATTAAAATCTAGAACAATTATGTTTATAATAAGATAGGTAAAAATCGATTTTTCCGATAAAATACCGATAATATCGATATTTATCAAGCTCTATTTAAAACCCACCGGAGCACTGCTTCCATGCAACGTGCTATCCGAAAGATCGCTCTCCGGAATGGCCACCAGTTCCGACTCCGTCTCATCCGCATCTAGGCTCGAATCGTTGTACTTCCGGAACGCATGCTGCAACTTCGGGGTGAAGGCCACATTCTGACCCTTGCTCTTCGAGGCGGCACTCGTTCCCTCCGAGGGAAACATTGGACTGGCCGGCGGACTGGCCTCCTTGTCGTCTGGATCGGTGCCAAGCGAGGGCTGACTGACATCGCGGGATCGAGCGGCGCCACCCACTCCCTGGATATCCAAAATGGTGGTGGTCGGAATGCGTCGGCATTGGTGGAAGTGACCTCGCAGGCTGTTCATGATCAGGCGGATGCCCGCAATGACATAGCCACTGAGGGGCGGCTGGGTGTACGAGTACTTGTAGAGCACCACCAGCAAGGTGAAGAGCCAGTTGCGCCGCGGATACTGCTCCAGGTGCCACAGGGAATAGTTGAAGACTATATTCTGGTAGGATTCACCCGAGGTGCTGGTCGGATTCGGGGCATAGAGAATGATCTGCATAACGGAGGGCAGAACGAGGCCACCAATCAAGTGATTCTGGTCCAGAACCTGCGGCAGATTGGCCAAGAAGGCATTGAAAACGGCCGAGACCCTGGGAAAAATGTGCAAAATTAAAACCTGAAAGTTGTTCAATGTTTTTAAAGATTACCTTAGGGATTCCGGAGTAGTATGGAAGGTCTTGTCGATCTGGTTGTGACCCAGGAGCAGGAAAAGGTGCTTCAGCACAATATTCTGGGTCTTGGTCATCGGTTTCTCCTCGGACGGATATGCCTGATCCGTTCTCGACATAAACTGCATTAGCATAAAGACCAGCAGGTGAATAGTCTCCCGATCAGACTCCTCCAGTTCCGTGATCCTCGAGAGCAAACCAATAAGGTTATCATCGTTCAAGCCTCCCAGAGAATGGATGTGACCATCTATATAGATTTTAGAGATTACAAATATTTAATAACCGGAAGACTCCTTAAAATTCACATCTGCTTGGAGGGAACGGGGGAAAAACACCAATATCATTTGATTTTTGTTTTGTTTTTTTTTTTTGGGTCACAGCCACATGCCAATTTCACAATTAGATTGATTTTCGTTTATGTAGATTTAAAATTTTGTATGATTCTTGTATAATATACAGAAATGTCTCTCTTGAGTAAACGCCAATTAGAAGTCAATTTAAATTTGTCGAGGGTTGTACAAAAACAGAGAGAAAGAGAGACAGGTTATGGTAGAAATAGAGTTTTCTTTTGTATAGTGGTCCGCGATAGAAATGTTGAGCATACATACCAGTTTGAAGGGGGAACACACTTAAACGACATTTGTTATGGAAAGCAGAGTTACACACACAACTAGATAAGTCAGCTTAATAATAGTCACAGCTCTTGTAAAGAACAATTAAGTGCAGATAGATCGATGGATTATGGATTATGGATTATGGGGATGCTGTAGATGTTTTACATAGCATGCATTTATGTTGAAGATGGTGTGTACATGTATCTAAGTCAACTTTGTGCCTAACATCATGCACAATTAATTCTTCAAAATCTTAAAAAGTTTGTCATAGGTAGTTATTTTTAAAAATATACTGGATATTTTTTTTAATTTTTAGTTAATGGAGGTATTGTCATAAAAACATTCTTAAAAATTTGTTTTCTTATTTAAAAAATAATACAATTGTTTGTTAGAGAATAAAAAAACACCATTAACTCCACATTTTTGAGTGTACAATAAAATCAAATAAAAGTGAATAATAAAGCTCATACTATGTTGCCTATTGTACTACTCCTATATTATAATTATTTATTCAAGTCATAAAAACTAAATTATCATAACTTTTTAAAACAACTTTTTTATTACTTTAAAGACAAAAAATTTATCAAAAGTCGTGCCAATTTCTAATTATTGTTTCTATATCTCCGGTCTTGGTTGTTCTGAATGATAATGTGAATGGTGTTTACACACTGACCAAGCCAAAGCAACACCGAAAATTGAATACACCACTCACGAGGATGGTTTTTTTTATTAAAATAAAAGAAATTGAAGTGGTTTTAATACAAATCAATAGGAAGATAATTAAAAAAACATATCCTAAATTTCTTAAATATTTCTACATGTTGAAAAATAATAATTTTAAAATAAATTCCCATTTTTCTTCTGACCAAAACCCATTCCTTGTGAGTGGTGTAGGCATTTTGCTAGAACACCGATCATCAGACGCCACCGAGGGGAGGGGAATCACAGGACGAACTGACACCGAGGAACACACATGCTCTAGCACCTACCTGGGTTCGCCGCGCTGCCGGTGGCCGCCGCACCCGTGACCTGGGTGTGCGGATGGGGTGCGGCATCGCAGGTGCAGTGCAGGGGGAAGGCCAGAGTCGAGGGGCTGGGACTGGGGGCCGGCACGATGGCCGGCTGCGGGGGCAGCAGATTGGGTGCCGACGGATGCTTTTGGAAGTGGGAGTGGAAGGAGTGATGGGGATTCGGATTCCCTGCTCCAGATCCCGATCCCGATCCTACTGCCGCTCCTGCCTCCTGACCCAGTGATCCTCCGACTGATCCACTCGCTGCGGCGGCATCGGCGGCCGCCTGCGAACGGAGCAGCGTCTCCGCCTCCTGCAGCGTGGGCATCGGACTGTGGTGACTGGGGGGCACACAGTGCACCAGGTACTGGTGGCTCTGGCTGTGCGTCGAGACTAGACCCGCCGAGGTGGTGGCGGCGGTGGTGGCTACGTGTGCACTACTACCGGCATGATGATGCGGATGATGGTGTGGATATGGATGCGGATGTGGATGGGGGTGAGGGTACGGATGGTGGGCGTGGTGGGTGTGTGGGTGGTGGGCATGATAGGGAAAGGCCGTGTGCGCTGGCTGCGTGTGGACGGGACAGGGCGGCGGCTTGGGTCGCGAGGAGCCCGCTGCCGCAGCTGCTGGATTCACCGACTGGCTGCTGCCAGAAGCCCCCCCACTACTACTGCCCAGGAACTGACCCAGTCCGAAGCGCGAGGTCTTCCGCTTGAGAATTGGCGCCGACACCTGGCGGCTGTAGATCTTCTCCTTCTCGGGAACTGTAATAGGAAATTGGATAATAAATATAATAAAATAAAAAGTTAGTTTGTTGGTATTTGTATTTTCTATAAATATAATATTATCACCCAGAAAAAAAAGACCGAAAAAATCTAAGACCGAATTTCTTACATTACTACCGTTTTGTTCTTTTATTTTTTTAAGACCATATTCTTATATTGATACCAAAGGGTATTGATTTAAGACCAGTAAATTTAGATTTAAGTTGAACTTATGCACGCGCGCGAAACACGGTGCGATGGCCCAGTTGGTAAGGCGTCTGCCTCTGATGCGAGAGGACCCCGGTTCAAAAACCGAATAAGTCAAAGTAAGTAAAAAGTTTTTCAAATGTATTTCAATTAACATTTCCTTTATAACTTTAAGAACAAAAATGTATTAAAAAAGTTAAATTGTTAATTTACTAATTACAAAACAAAAAAAAATAAGTTGTGTTGTGAGCGGGAATTGAACCTCGTACCCCCAAACACAAAATAATACCAGAATCCAGCACCTTGGCCCCTGGGCCATGGCCTTATTATTATGATATGATAGACGGTTCTGAATAAATCTTATTTTCTAAAAAGATAAAAATTTAATACATAATATTTAGCAATCTATTCAAATATAGATATCACTCATACGTACTGTTGCCTTAAATCAAAAGTGAATTTTATTCTGTTTTTGGGTAGATTTTAACCAAACATTTCTCACTTCGCTCTCAATAAGTTTTAATAAATATGGTGATAAGATTAGAAACGGAAGAACGTTTTTTTAAAACGAAATTCTAGCTGACACACGTGTCGGATGAGTAATTTTTAAGGAAACTTTAAAACCGTAAGCAATGCATATATTTTATAATTTTTTTTAGTTTTAGTTTTTTAATACATTTGAAATAAAAATATCAAATAAATTTTATTTTGGTAAAAACTTACCAAACTTGCTATCCTGTCGAGGGGCCATGCTGGCTGGAGCGGACATGGTTCGCTTGTAGGGCCACTTGGTGCCGAAGGAGGCGCTCAGCGTCTTGGCCATGCTGCCACTGGTGTCCGACTGGCTGAGCGCATCCCTGGCCTTCTGGATCTTGGCCGAGAGGGCTTCGCTGCCGTTGTCCGAGTTCCTCAGATCGCGCAGATACGAGATGTCGCCGCACTTCTCAAGATTTATCTGCGCCTCCACGAAGAGCGTGTCGAAGCGGTTCAAGAAGAAGTCCCAGCCCAACAGCTTGCGGTCGGACAAGGAGTTGTGCAGCTGGTAGACCGACTGCAGCACCACCGGCCGGTCCACGATGAACAGATCGAACTGCGACTCCAGGCAGAAGAGCAGCGACCGAATTGCCGTGTCATGGATGGTCCCAATGTAGAGGGTCGCCCGCTGCGCCACGTACACATTGATGTCGTCCATGCTGGCGATCAGGTGGCAGAAGGCGGTGGCCAGCGCCGTCTGCAGGCCCACCTCGGAGCGCAGGGGCGTGGAGTCCATGAAGCGGGTAATCACGGTGACTCGCTCCACTGCCGTGAACCGGACGCGCCAGTCGGTGTCGTGGAAAGCCTCCTGCACCACGCGCCAAAACACATCCGATCCCAGTGGCAGCGTGATGCAGTGCAGCAGCAGTGGCACGCCCACCTGGCAGATGTGAGAGTGCTCCGCGTTGCATAGCTCCCACAGGCTGAAAGGGATGCATTTTAGTAGGCTATTTAAAAAAGTGGAGTGTAACTCACTTCTTGATCAGCAGATTCTCCTGGCACCAGATGAAAAAGCCACGCTGCTCCCTCGCCGCCTTGGCCAGGGCATCGCCATGCAGAGCCATCGTGTTCAGGCACTGGAGAACGTAGTACAGAATCTCCGGCTTCTTGATGGTGGGTATTTCCTGTGGGAGAAACAAGGTATCGTTAATAATAGCATAGAAAATTTAAAACGGTTTTTTTCACCATTATGACATTTAACAAATGATTAATGAAGAAAATTTTAATATATTTTATTAATTAGTATTTAACCGTAAATTAGTAATTAGTAATTAACTATCAAAAGTAATAAAATAATAATCTTCCTACCGTCAGCAGCTGATGGATATACTGCAGTGGCTGGGGCAGCGTGTCCAGGGTGAACTTGAACTTGCCCACGGAGGTGTGCCAGAAGTCGTCGCTGTCCTCCTCCTCCTCGTCCTCCTCGGAACCGCTGCCGTTCTCCCCGCCGCCACAGGCCGCCCCGCCATTGGCACCGTTCTCACCCATCACCGAGGCCTTGGTCACGCTGACATTCGCACTGCCGACGTCCGCGTCGGAAAGGGTTATAGAGCGGGCTATGGCCCGGTCTGTGGGCAGGATGGAGGCCAGGTCGAGCTGCTCTGAAACTGTTTCAACCGTCGCCGTCATGATCTGCATGAGACAAGGGTGGCGGAATTAGCGATGGGCATAATGCTAATGATCTGCAACAGGTTTACATCGTATATACACGTGGGTTTACATTTTGTGTGTACGGTATGTTACATTCCTTGGACAACACATGTAGACAAATGCAATGTTCGGGGAGCTTTGACGCTTCGTTTACACTCACATAACCGTCTTTAGATTCGCTTAGTTTAGGTAACAAAGTAATTTACACCAAAAACGATACATACACGTAAAATTGCATAAATTTGTTACATTTTCTGTGCATTGCTGTGATTATAATAATATTAATTTATATTTTCTTTTTTTTTTGTGGAGTAGGGGAATTAACTGTGACAGTGCTGTACATTGAACATGCTCTTTAACAATGATCCATAAATTAAAAAAAATATATTATTTGTTAGGTGAATAAAATTAGCATGGAACTCAATATTTACATGTTAAATAAGATATGTAAAATCGAGATCGACTTAAATAAAATGTACATTTATGAAACTCGTTTTTTCGATTTTGTTTCGATTTACGACAATTTGTAATTTATTTTCACACACATACAAGATACTTTGAGACACAGTAGTTGAATAAAATTATTTTAAAAACTATTAACAAAAAAGATTTAAAAAAATCTATAATTCGGATGGAAATGCTATTAAAAGAGGTAAGTTAAAAAAGCTTATCTTTGCGTACTTTCTCTAAAAGAAAATACTTTTCCAGATGTCGTGATTAAATTCTGTCAGCCTAATCTTTAAATATTAGTAATAGTAAACGGAAAACTTAAAAATAAATTTAAAATATTTGTTTCTAATTTAAGTAAGAATGGCGTCATCGCTCCATCCTATTTGTCATCTATATTGTCTCTAGGGCTAACTAGAAAAAACATCTCTATAGTGCTTTTAAAATTCTTCTAAGACTGCAGTATTTATAAATAAAATTCGAATAAAAATGTATAGTTATTTAAATAAAAGACAAAAACTTAAGCAATATCAGGAAAACACTCTGTACATTTATTTACACTTAATACGAAGAGAACAATTTGTTGACTGGACATAAAAAACTATAGATATTGAAAAACGAATTGTACAATTATCGAATCGTAGGAGGGTTTCATAATTGGGCAAATGATAGAACTTAAGTTTAAAACAAAGTTGTATAGCTTTTGTTGGTTGAATAGTTTGTCTTTTGTTTGGTGTTTCTTTTTTAAGAATGCACAAAGTACCTCGTCTGTGGCGTGAACTTTTCTCAATTCATTACTATCAACTGAATGCCCATTTTCGTTATTCTATAAAAAATATATGAAGAAATGAAAACGTTTGTATAATCGTTGGACAATTATCGATTTTCAATTTTTCCAACTAAAAAATTGAATTAGAATTTGTGTTAAGGAAAGCAAGAGTAAACCAAGTATAGATTATGTGTCGATTAAATGAAACAACTCGAATGCTCACTTCAACTTAGTATTGCTTTGTTGCTGTAATTAATTAAGTTGAATATTTATAGCAAATATATAAAATATATATGTATATATGGGGTGTTTCAATATACCTACAGTCAACGCATAATATTTTTGGATATAATTTTCTTTTTCTTTTGTTTTTTGTTTGTATTCTTATTAGTTTTTTGCAATGTGTAAAGAACTTTAAAAATCGAGTATGGTCGTCATTAAAAGAGTGACAACAAAAGAACATAATGTGTAGGGGTAGAATTGCTTATGATCGAAATACATACGGAACAGACGTGGGGCATATGGACGAGCACTCCGCCCACAGAGTGGGGTTCTGGTTGAGGAACAGCCACTGGCACAGGACCTTTTCAAAGAGAATTATACATTGGGATTAGTTTCGGATCTGGAACAATCGGAAGGCGAGTCCAGCTAAAAATGAAGTTGGCTTAGTGGTCAACATACAACTGATTGGCATTCACAAATCAATCATGCATACATATAGAAATCCTATGAGTGTCATAAGGATAGGTAGAAAGTTGGAACTTCACTGAAAGTATCTCATGCAGGTTTTTGAACAAGTGGTTTACATTACTGCCAATTGGTTACTACGCGAGGATTCTCCGGTTTTGAAAGTTTTATATCCAATGGAAGGAATTAAACTAGGCACTCGTACTGCCTACCGAAAAATCAAAGATCGTAAAAAAATGTGTGTGTTTTCTGGTGCTTGTAGTGTTGACTAAAAATCGCAGTTCGGTGTTATTTTGGGGAAGGACTATAACCGAGCCGAAAGAAAATCGATCTAGAGCAAAACGGAACTGAACTCACTAGGGGCGGTCAATCTACAGAGGTCAACTAGATATAAAAGCTTGGTTATGCTAAATCATATACTCTAGTAACGCTAAACAGAGATAGAGAGTTGTGTGTGGAGTGTGTTTGTGGAGAAAAAGTTTGTTAGAGTGATCGAGCGAAACTATTGTTGTCTTCTTCTGTTGTTCGTGTCGTGTGGTTAATAAAAAATTTTGTAGGTTTGGGTTTTTAGAGTTGGGTAACGAAATGTTTCAACAAATGCTTCATAATGTAATGTAAATTTGTAATTTGTATTTTTGATTTTTTTTTTGTAACGAATGAAAAATTTTCTTGTGGTGCATCACCTGCCATTATAATAATTTTTCCATCGTCTGAAAAGAATTGATCTAGCTTAAAGATATCTGATAATGATTGATAGATTTCAAATTTAGTTTGGTATTAGTTTTGCAGTATTTCATGAGTCGATTTCGATATTAGTTTGTAGATTTTTTTGGGCATAGACGAGAAGTTTTCGAGTGTGAGAGAGAGAGACAGACAGTTTCGTACGCGCGGAATAGGGTGCGAGCGAGCGAGAGAGAGAGACGGCGTTAGTTATGTTATTTTTGTACAGGCAGACGCGCAGTAGAATATGTTAGAGATAGAGAGAGAGAAACAGATATACATATTTATGTAGAGAGAGATAGCAAGATAGTAGACAAATAGTTATGGATTAAAAGATAAGTACAGGTGAGATCGGGATGATAGAATGTTTTTTTCACGAATGATCGTTTAGATGGTAGTTAATTCATACTTCTGAGATTGCTTGATTTAGTCTGGGGTTTTGTTTATTTTGGTCAAGTAGGTAGTTTACAAGGCATAGCAGTGCAGGTTTCTAGTTGTAGGTTGTAACAAAGTTCGGTTTGCGCTTTAACGTGGGGTTGTTAGGCTAAAGTAGGTTGTTTACAGGGACGCTCGACGGGCGAGTCGCCATTCCATACCATTCGCCCGCAAACTTTTTTATATATATTTTATATAGTCCAGGCTCAAGTACTGTCTACAATTAGCTACTTTTTGGTGACGTTTCACTGCTTTACTGTTATGGTGGTTAGTTTATTTATAAGTGGGTGGGTTTCGGGGGGTTTTTATAGGAAAGAAACTTGGGCGGGGTCGTTATAGACGGTTTATGTTACAACCAGGGTTCGTTAAGGGGTCTTGAAATAAACTAAAGTGATTTGGAAACTCCGGGGCATACCTGCAAATCCTCCCAGGGGTCCCAAGGGAATTGGCAAGGGAGCCATTGAAAGGGAGACATCTCGATCACGGGTCTTTTCCTTATCGGATTCGGGTGGAGATTTGCGCGAGGACTTTTCCTCTTCGATGATGTCCTCGATGGGAATCTGGAAGTGTTGTTAATTAGAAATGAATGGCTTAAGGTAAAGATGAAGACCTACATCTGGTGGACGAACTGGATTTAGGGGGGCCATGAACTGAACCAACTTGGTGGCGAGCTGATGCCACATGATGGAAGCCTCGCAATAGGCACATTCTGCCACCTGATAAATTAATTAAAAATATAAAAATTTAAATAATAAAGTACAGTTAACTATTTTAACCTTCAAGGCGCAAACGTGACTACTGAGACCCACGCGAGCGGCGGTGACCATGCACTTGATCAGCCGGGAGACATTCTCGCAGACGCTCGTGTGGATGCCCATGTGCTGCTCCACATCCTGCAGTTCCATTTGCTTAAGCAGGATGTCCAGCATGAGGATGCAGCAGGTGAGGTTGTGCTCAGCATCCGTGGAGAATTCCGTGTGACGATTGGTGGGGGCCTCATCATCCGAGATGGCCGACGTATTGCCCGAGTCGTCCTCGACAACGGGAGCTATGGTTAAATAGGATATTTAAATTAGTTTAAACCTAAAAAAATACTCACAAATTGAGCTCCTCCTGGGGGGATTGGCCATGTCCGCCTTGGTCTCCTTGCTCTCCTTACACGGCGTCTTGGGAGCCTTTGCCAGGGATTGCGACTGGGCATCCTTTTCGCGCATCAACTCATGCTGGATGCCATATTTCATAATGCGAACTCCATCGCCAAACATGGCAAATAGCTGCACTAGGGGAATAAGGATCTCCAGCTTGGTGAGGATTTGCAGCCAGTGGAGAGCCTGCTGCTGAACCTTGGCCGTGGTCTTCTCGAACCGAATGGCCACAAAGTTGTACATGGTCTTGGCATCGAAGCCCAGAGGTGACATCTCCGGATCGAGAATCTTGCTGAGCACAATCTTCAGCTCGTTGAGCTCCTTCTCGGCCACATCGTTGGTGATGGCCTCCATCCAGTGCGGCATCACGTAGTCCCAGATCTCCGAGGTGATCACTTCGTAGGGAACCAGGCAAATGAGTCGCTGAAGGCCCTCCTTCAGGTGACTGGTGCGCGAGGCCAGGGTCTCCCAGTGGCCACCAACGCGGGCATACTCGGGCGGATGGGGCAGCAGGCAGGAGATGAAGACGTTGTAGTGAATCCTGCAGATGTCCTTCAGCCAGTCGCACACATGATCCACCTTCAGCTTCTCAATGGTGCTCTCCACTTGGCCGGCAGCTGAAGATTACTCAAGTTAATTGGTTTTTAAAGATATGGAAAAGGAGATACATACCATCGTAGGAATAGGCAGTGACATGGAACCAGTGGAAGAGCATGCTCAGGATCCTGCCCAGAACCTCCACAGGTGTATCGGCGGTGGGAGTGCAGCGACCCACCAGCAACCAGATGCCATATCTACCCAACCTCTGACGCTCCTCCAGCGAAATGTTGTCCGCTGTCAGCGGTGAACCGTTCTTCTTCGCATCGGACATCGCGGAATCCTTGCCGGGCTCAAAGTTTATCGGCTTGGCCTCGCGCAACAGACTCACCACCGACTCGACCATGTGCATCTGCATCTCGGGATCCATCTGCCAGGCGGGCTGCAGGCTGCGATGGACCACATGGTCGCCACCTCGTCGAGAATTGTGCCTGTTGCTGTGGCACTGGCTGCAGTAGCGAATGGGATGGTTGCCATTGAAGCTGGCGCACTCCGTGGAGAAGCAGATGGAGAAGGCCGACTTCTCGTTGGAGCGGCAGTTCTTGTTCTCGCAGACCATCGACACCTGTTGCATGGGATGCAGGATGTCGCCGAACTCCAGGCTCCCATGCTCCCGGTGAATCTCGTTGGCGCACTCGATGCACAGATACAGGGGCGGCGGGCAGTCGGGGGCGTAGGCGATGCTGATGCTGTGGTCATAGCACACCTTGGCCGCCTCCGCGTTTCCGGAGTTCGGGCAGTGCTCCCGCTGGCAGGTGAAGGGCACCAGGTCATCTAATTTGAAAGAAAGTTATGGATATCATGAGAATTTTAAATTAAAATATGTGGAATATTTTAGACTTTATACCCTTTAAGATAATAATATGAAATTCTTATCTATTAACTGCTAGCCACTACAATAAGAAATCTTAAAAAAAGGTACTAAAGGTACCAAAAGGTACTACTAAAAGTATTAGTGGTATTAGAAGTAGTAGTAGTATTAGTACTAGTAGTAGTAGAAGAGTACTAGTAGTAGTAGTAATAGTAGTAGTAGAAGAGTAGTAGTAGTAGAAGTATTAGTACTACTAGTAGTAGAAGAGTAGTAGTAGTAGTAGTAATAGTAGTAGTAGTAGTAATAGTAGTAGTAGTAATAGTAGTAGTAGTAGTAGTAATAGTATTAGTAGTAATAGCAGTAGTAGTAATAGTAGTAGTAGTAGTAGTAGTATTAGTAGTGAAGTGATATGTCATTACAATAGTTGGTAGTTTTTGAAGAAACATGCACACACTCTATAGTCAACTTAATAAATGTTATATGATATGAACCTTCAGAAGGCTTTACTTTAAAAATAATCCAATATTATTCTACTGATAAAACATGTTTATAGGTGAAAACCCAGTATAAACTCACTAGTTAGTTTTGAGAGCAGGACTTTGCGATCAAAGAGATTGGCGTTGAAGGCTGGCCAGTAGTAGAAGAGCAGCTTGGCGGCCGAGGTTCGGGAGACAGCGGTTCCGTAGGCCACCACGCAGAGGATGTCCTTGACCACATTGTGTTTCAGGGTCATTAGGCACTCCAGCAGCTGGCAATGGTGAGCCGGATTGTTGGAGTACTGCAGCACCATCATGATGACCGAGGACACAGACTGGCAGGCCTGGCATTCCTGCTCATCGGAGCTTCGACGGGCTAAGAACAGAGATTATAAATTATGATTTATAATAAAGGTTCCCATATCCCCGATCAATAACTACTACTCACTTATAGTAAAGGGTAAGATATAGTAGCATAGAGCATTGATGATGCACTGGTGCAATGCTGGCGGTAGAACAGATATAGTAGAGCTGACTAGATAGGGTAGATTATCGATAAGATCCTTGTCGAGAAAAGGTAGGATGCAGCTTAGGCACTGCAAAAGAGCTTTTCCGAAAACTGCAAAACAAACGAGAACTCAGATAAATATGGGATAATCGAATAGCATTAGAGCATCTCACCGATTTGTCCGTACTGGATGCAAGGTGCCACATCGATGAGCATAGTAAGAGCATTGTAGAGATTGCCATATTCGAGATTGGGATAGGCAGACATGCGAGTGGGATCTTCAAGAGGATCGCGGATAAGCTCGTGCGGCGAGGTGCGCACATCTTTAAGGACAGCTGTAAAAATATTTAGAGAAATTACCAAAATTAAAATTTACAATTACGATCGTATATATTTATCATTAAATCATTATTAATAAACCAAAACACATTATATTTTTTTAAAAACTCATTAAAAATAAATAAATACCATACTTACTTAGTAGAGTTTGAGAAAAGTACTTGATATTGTTAGCAATATCGACGCCAGAGGGCGCAGGTAAGACGTTGTGCAAGAGACGTACGTGGTATTCATGAAGGGCTCTCAGTTTTGCCTGAACTGTAAGCACAGAAAAGAAAAAAAAAACCAATTGAGCACTCTAGAAAGTTGAGACTTCTGGGGACAACTTACAGGCGGCAGCGCGAGTGCCCATATTGATGAGTTGCACCTTAAAGCTGCCAGTCATTATATCAGACAAATCCTTCGCATTGCCGAAACTGCTGCCGAGGGACTTCGCATTCTGCAATTAGGTAAAATAAATACTTTTAAAACAATATTTAACACTTCACACCCAACATTACGTAATACGCACACCAAAAAGATGCTACCATTGCAAAAAAGCCTCAAATCATACGAAACTTTATAGATAACACAATATTTTCATACACCACGGTTGCTAAATGACCTTAAGTTAATATTTCTTTTAAACTTACCTCGAAATTGGTTAGTTTTTTCAATAGATTTGCAATTTTTTACGGGTTTAACAGCAAGCCACGTCCACGAAGAAAAATCTCTATAACTAAACTGAGTTTATGGTGTGTATCTGTGCAAGAATTCAGCTATCTGTTGGACGTCCTTTGACCCCCTTGGCTCTTATTTGCCTCTTAAAGCGATGTTTCGGGTAATATTAAAAAGCGGTTTTTGGTAAGATACATTAAGGATGTATTTAACTTTTAAATAAGTAATGTTTTAAATATATTTTGTTGAAAATGTAAAGGAATTTGAGTAAATTGAAGTTGTGGGGTGGGTACTTGACCCACTTTTGCCACCCACCCTCGACAGCAGCCCCTTTGAACAGCTGTTCCTAAGTAGGACATGCGCATATCGCGTGTTTATCTCACATTTTCCGCACTTACCGGTACTCTTTCAACAAGTGTTTGTTTTGGTCTAGCCGATGTAAATATTTACCATTTCTAGCCGGGTCGGGAGTTTGCGCAGATTGTTCTCAATGTTTGTAAATACTTCCCAGCTGTTATCCTTGATATGCAACTGGTATCTGTTGGAGATTTTCCACCGATTCGTGTAGAGATTTGTGGTAGCTTAAAATCCCTTAAGAATTTATCACATCTAAAGAAACCCCTTTAAAATTTATTACGGTCAGCTAAGCAATTTACAAGGGGATACCAAAATGAAATTGAAATAAATCTTTTGGCACCCTTTTTTTAAACCCACAATTAAATACTCATTACAGAATTTAGTTAGCCACTTTTTGGGGGTGTCTTATTTTAGGGCTTCCCTCGAAAGTGAAAACCTCGAAAAATCCTAGGGGTTGCCCAGCATTTTGTCTGGCTCATGCGGCACCTTTTAACCCTACTGTTTGCAACCCAAAACCTTAAACTCGCTTGGGAAATTGAAACTCGTAGTGTAGACATTTTAACAACCGATTTAACTGAACTTTGTGACCCCATTGACGGCCAAAAACCAATGGGTTTGCCTCAGAACAAACACATATTTCAGGTGTGTTTGGGTTTATTGTGAATTAGGTTTGTAATTATAATTTGTTGAATTAAAGCGGAAATGATTATGGTTTTGCAGAGTCGGGTGAAATATCTTGAATCCTTGAAGTGTTTACAGAGTGGACTGTGTAGTGGAGGGGCAGTACCCCAATATTTCTATGAGCACTAGCCTAGAGATCGGGAGAAATACTATGTGTTTTTCGGATATGTCCTACTTGAATTGATTGACAGAAGTTGGAGCTGGCTGAATTGCTTCTTCATCCTCTCGCTCTGCGATGGACAATTGACCTCCCTCCAAAGCATTGAGAATCTCCTCGCCGGATGCCTTGTTGGCCACACTCTTTTTGGCCTTTGGGTTTGATGGCTCCGAATCCGTCCCGGATTCCTCAACTTCGGCCTCTTCTACCTTGACTGGCGATTGGAATTCAGTCTCGGATTCATGGTTTACCGGCTGCAGCTCGTGAACCTCTTCCGATTCACCTTCCGCATTTTGGGACAGTCCGAAACCCGCATTTTGGCGATGGTTCTTCTGGCGGTGGAACAGCAGCTTCCAGTAGGTGGAAATGGAGGTCTTGATAGTGGGCTTCGCATTTGGCATTGGCTTTTGGTCGTGCTCCACGGGGTCAGCTATTGAGCTCGATTGTTCCTGACCATCTAGCAAAAAGAAAGTTATAAATTAGTTTAGAAAATCCATTATTATTAAACCTAGATAAGAATATTAATTCAAAATCAATCACTTTTTCTATTGTAAAAAAGGTATTATCTTGACAACTATAATGAAAGGCTAGCTAGTAATATTAATTTGGAATAAACTTATTTTTCCAATGTGAAACTTTAATATTTTGACAGCTTAAATATCTCAACTCTCACCTTTGTTCGACCCCTTCAACCGGGTGAAGAAACGACTTATCGTGTTGGATCTGCCCAGCTCCCTGTTGTCCTGCGAGGATGTCTCGCTCACTTCCTCCACATGGTCCCGCATCAGCGGCTTCTTGCTGATCTTAAAGAAGCGCTTCAGGGAACTGGACTTGGGCGCGGGCGTCGCTTCGGAGCCATCCACTACTGGCAAACCTTCGGGATCGGCGAGCGGAACATCTTGGAGATTGGACATGATCGTCCACTATGTCCACCGGAATTTTATAGTATTTTTTCAGTTAAAATATTGCTCGGTTATATACGAAATATAAGTTTAATGTGACTGGTGTTGTTGAACGGAGTGCCAGACGCAAATAGCTGGAAAGTACAGGGCCTACTTGTATTTACTTTTTACTCGTTTTGGTAAGGTTTCCAGCTAACTTGATTGAACAAGAGAATTTTAAATACTTACTTATTGATTAATTTTTAAAGTTCTCATAAAATATATGGAAATACATTGTTTAGTCTCGTTTTCATTCTCTGTGTTTCATGTATTTTTCCTTAGCAATTTGGCCACTCACAGTTAACATGTGTTAACAACGACATCGAAACAGGTTTCAATTGATACGACTTTGATTTCATTTTCTCCCCGCAATCGAACTGTTTCCCCGGCCAGGACAAAGCCGAACTGAAGCCTGCAGCCCCAGAAAAAAGCTGAAATAAAATCCAAAGGCAATTCATTCAATATGTGTGCAGTGCACACAATACCCCTTGTTATGCTGCTGCTGCCCCATTGTTTCAAATGTTCGATGTCCGCTGTCCGTTGTCCGGTTGCTGCTGCAGTGTTCCGTTCCTGAGTTCGGGCCCACCAACAAAGTGGTTTCGAAAATCAATTGGAGAACTGGTGGCGATTCCTGCTGTCGACACTGCGCCATCTCTGCACCGCCGCTGCTCCTCCGATCCCTTCTTCCAGCACTCAAGTCCGTTAATTTATGTAGTTATGTATTGCCGGTTGCCAGGACACCCGAAACAATGGACAATTGCTGCTGCAGTTGCAGCATGCGAAGCGTATGCTTTTGTCCGGCGAAGGTGTTGAAGTCCTGAAAAAAACAGATATGCAATATCGGATCAATTTGAATGCCATAAAATTAAAATTAATCAATTATTGATTAGGTGTGTTCTTTACAAGGCGACAATGAGAGATGGTAGAGATTACAATACAAGAATCTTATTTATGGTACTGAAAGTCAGATTTCTAACTTTAAATCAAAAACACTTTAAAGAAGCCTAATATTTTATTTATCTGATTTTTAATTTGCTATCTTTCAGACCCCTTAAAGTGACAGCTCTTATACTCCATCAATTTATGTCCAACCCCTTACAGAAAAAAGTTAATGAAAAAACTCCACGGCGCCAACAACAAAGGGACATCAATAAATCATCAACAATAAGAGCATAAGGGAAATGAACAAGGATAATGCAAGGGCAATCCTTTTGCCATCCTTTTGCCAGCCAACAGCTGCTCACCCACTCCGCTGAAAAGTGTGAAAATGTCAGCGGCGAGTGGGTGAGTTACGTACGTATGCTCATATCTCCTCCGGTCATAATGCTCGCTCATTTGTGGAGTGGGCGCCATATAATGGCCAAAACGGAAATGTTGTTTGCAGCCAATTCATTGGCAAACACACAACACACAAACAGTTGCGAAACGGCGAACAACAAACAGCATAAACACCCCCTGCGGGCTTACGCAGGAGCAACACCATCGCATTTTAGATGCCGAGAAGATGGGGCAGTGGAAACAATGGCAGCGGCAGCAGCAGAATCAGCAGAAGCTGCAACTGCAGACCGCAAAGTGTGGTGCCACAACCCTTGGGGCAATGAGGCTGGAGATGGAAATGGAGCTGGAGCTGGCCGGAGTTGTAGATGGAAACTCATAAGTTGGTCGTCTGGCAGACAAATCCTCAGAGCAAGTGCATTCATTCATTGGCAATAACAATCAAACTGCTGTTGGCAGTACACAGGCCCTTCTCCCTGCCCTGCCCCTTTTTGCTCATCTCTGGATGCCATTCAACTTGTTTGCACTGCTGCTGTTGCTGCCGACAACAGCAAGCAGCAAGCAGCCACCAGCAACATGCAACAGCAACAGCTATGGCAGCCACAAGCAACTCCGTGCTGTTGACTTTAATATTTCGGTCTTCGGTTTATTACAATCCCCCCAAGATCAAATAGTCTGAAAATCGTCATAGATACCGGGAAATATTCACTCTATGTGGGAAAGGTAAACCTTAACCAGTCACTCTTGGGAATCCGATAAAGCCATAGGGCCATAAATTGTAGAATTTTCCACCTCATTCCATTGAAGTTCTCAAGTTCAATTTGGCACTGCTGTTCGTCTTTATAGATTTACAATATTTACATAGTTGCCATTGGTGTGTAGATAAGGCGGCGATAAAGAGTTCAATCGCATCGGTTTATTGGCCTGTGACGTCTGTATGTGGCTCAACTCTCTCTCGGTTTTTAAATAAATAACATTGTGTAATGATAGTAATAATCCATAGCGCAGCGAGTGCGTTTGTGTAATCATTGATTAAATAGTTTTCCCATTTACGATTTCACACTTTCACTTTATCGAACGCAAGATAAAGTACAAAATGTGACTCAATCTCCGGTCCGAGGTATCTTATTTACCTGACCACCCTAATCCCCTGTAGTTTGTGGTCCTTAGGGCGAGATAGAATCTCTTCTGAAGTTAATCAATAATGCAAGTGGCCATAAATCGGAACTGTTGCAGGCGCCACTCCTCTCACTCGATATCGGCCAGATATCGACTGATGGCTATCAAAGGCGCCAGCGGCGGCAAAACCAAATGTCAACAGTTTAATAAATAAAATCAAGACGGGCGCGCGACTGCAATTAAAGGCGAAAAAAAGCCATCGAAAAGGGGCAAAAATCTTCTTGGATCACTCACATGTGGCTGATGTTGCTGCTTGTCGTCGTGTGCGACAGGAGCCGATTGTCGCTGGTCTCGCAGATCAGAATCAGAATCAACAGCCACATCGACACATGCGATATTTGAGTCCCGGCTGAGAATTATGATCGATTTATTATGCGACAAACAACGACGGCAACAGCAACAGCAACATGGCCAAGTGGCTGTGACAGGTTTGGGCTTCGCTTCGGGTTCTTGGCCCACAGAATATGCGCAAGACATTGATTTTCGCCAGGTAATGAGGCAACTCATTAATCATTTTTTCGTTGCGCACTGGCTGGGGGATTATGTTGCCGTTGTTGTTGCTGTGGCATCGTTGCAAGGCACTGGCACACCGGCAACAGTTGCTGCTGCTGCTGCCTCTGACGGAATGTTGGCAACATGTTGAGCATGCAGCTGCAGCAGCCGCTTCTCCTTGCATCCTGGCTGGCTGTCTCCTCTTGTTCTCTGCTTGATTTTGTTAACCTTTTGACCATTTGAAGTTTTTTTTGTATGCTTTACTGCCAATTTGGTGGTCATTGGCCATTCACTTGACTTGCGCCTGTTGCTTGTCCGTTGTCTCTTGGCTGTCTGTTGCTGTTGTGTTGCAGTTGCTGTTGCTGTAGCTGTTGCTCTTGCGGTTGCTCTTTTGGCACACAACGCACAATGTCTGACAGTTTGCCCGATTGCCTCTGTCCCCTGTCGCTGTTGTTTTTGCTGTTGCTGTTTCTGTTGCCTTGATATTGCTCTTGCACTCGCCAATGTTGCTGTTGTCGCGGTCATCTCCTGGCTTATGGCACACACTTTTGAGGCTCATCTGCCAGGAAGGACGGATGCGGTCAGGTGGACCCACTGGATGCCCTATACCTGCAGTTAAAGGAGTTTTCAGGAATGCTAGTTTTATTAAATACCTACATATTAAATTTCAGTTAGAGCCTAGAGACTATGAATAAATTAATGTAATAAAAGAAAGTAATAAGGTTTTAAAAGACTCTTTTTCATAGATTTGTTTAAAATTTCGTATTTTGTTTAAACTTATTTATTATATCAAAGTTCTTATATAATAACTTATAAGTAGTAAGTATTTGTACACAAACTTTTAATCTTAATTGGACTAACGTTTAAAATAATAGTAGTGATTAATTACCAGCAAAATCACAAAAAATATTCATTTTGCCATGATACAAAATCGAAACCATGAACATTTTGAAATAAGGAGTACCATTTGCATTGCTTACGTAGTAATGGGTTAACAACGGAGCATTGAAGGGTATCGAGGAGGTACCTGGATTGGTTTATTGCCACTTTTCTGCACTTGTCGCGCACAGTTGGCCAACTTGTAAATGCCTGTCGTTGCGGTCGTTTGGGGGCCATTAGCCTTCGCCTTCATTTTCGGGTTCGCCACACGCACAAATCCCGAAATTCTGGCAAAATTTCTTCATTTTGGTGAGCGACTCGCTGCCGGCTGGGACCTGCAGTTGCTGGCAATTATTTATAGTTTCTGATGTATTCAATTTATTATGCAGATGGTTAGAAAGTTGCTAAATACTTGATGTACGACTCTAACATATTGGGTGTAATTTTTCTCTGGCTGGCAAAGAAAATTCGAGGTAAACGCAGCCCGTTGCAGATGAGTAAATTAGAAATGCATGAGTTCTCCTTCAGCCGCAAAAGAAAACATTCAAGTATCCAAAAAATACGCGATTTTCTCACGATTACCTGCGACCACACTCACTCACTTATTGATGAATATTCCATGGAGTTGAAGAATCTGCTTAAGTCGAAATCCGTTCGCTATCAAAGTCCGCTTAAAGTTCATCACACTTCAGACGGTAATTAATTACGGATACTTGCAGAAAAACCACCGCAGTCAGAAGCCAGTAATTAAACATAAATAACCGAGACAACTTAATTTTGAAGGTTGGTTGGTCGATCGATCGACATGCAATTCTCCATGCATTAAAGTTTAAAGGCCAGCTAGGAAAAATCCAGCAGCAGCAGCAGCGGTGGCGGCGACAGCAGTGAAGAGAAAAAACATTTTCTAATTTATTAATATGTTTAAGAGGGAAAAAATCTATTTGGCAAACAACCGAGCGACTGACAGCTAACATAGATCGCCGTGGCTGGCGGAGACCATTAGAAAGCGATTAGATAGCGATACAGATACAGATACTCGATCCCCCGAAAGACATATGTAGCCCACGAGCGGTCGGTCCAAGGAGCAGTGGCCAAAACAATGTCAGCCCGCTTGGCCCGGTCCGCCGAACAATGGCAGCTAAACATGGCAAGTTAACAGTTTAATTTACCAAGAGACAAACAAAAAATGCCGCTACATGGCGGCCAACGATATGCGGATATTTAATGTATCCGCCAGATACGTAACAT